TTTGTGTCCAGGTGGTCCTCGATGACCTTTTGGCCCTCGAACGAAACGCTTTTGTGAAAGACAAAATGAAAAACAAATGTGAGAAAACATCTGAAAATCAGTCAGGAACAATCGTCTCAAGATGTAAACTAAATGAAAAAAATAATTAATAAAAGCAAAACAATATAGGCAAATGATGCCCTTCCTCATTACTATCATTATTAAAACCAAACAAAATCGAACAAAATCGAAATCTTACTGGTATTGGAAAGAACAGTAAAATATTTCTTTATCTATTTATAATACTGTGAATTAAAAAATGTTATCGTACAGTACTGGATATGGCCATGTTATAAAAGAGCCGTCCGCTTAAAGAACGACTACTTGATCGGGATCAACTGAAATTTCGATTCCGTTCAAATTCTGTCCACAAAACAACGTTACTATAACGTGAAAGAAAACACAGTTCTTTGGTATTAAAGATGCTGTGTCACAAAATGTGTCAAAATTCAAACACTAATGGAAATATGAGAAGACTCAGTTTGATCTGCGGATAAATATATGTAAGTGGAAATGATTTTCACAGTTGAATAAACAACCTAAGCGGTTGAGAAAGAACCTGAAAATTTTCAGGCTTGACTGGGAATCGAACCCTGGCGTGTGAGATGACAGGACACAACGCTCTATCCAATCAAGCCATCTGGAAAGCAGGCCATTGGGAAATCGTAACATGCCCGTTGGTGGAAATGACATGAATGGAAATATATGAAATGACTCATATTTATTTTAAACTGCGGAACCATCAAAAAAAAAGATTTGGATGTCTACGATACGAAGAGTTAAGCACGAAGTATTTCTACAGTTTTAATTCGCATTTGCCAGCTTATCAAATATCACATCGACAATTCGAAATATATCCGTTTCGACTTGTTTGAACGAAAGATATCGACGAAACTGTTCTTATGGAAAGAAGATGTAGAAAACATTACTTCCAACTCTCCATAGTTTCACTTTTACCTAGTTTGATGCCCAAATGTAAATACATATTCACAATATAACGCAGAGCGACTATGGATCGTAAACTGGATCAGAAGCAGAATTTACCTCGTACCTATTCACCTGTATCCTTCAAAACTGTGTATTTGACAAGATTCTCTCAAGACTAAAGCAGATCATACTATAAAGGAGACAATTTTCCGAGTGCGTGGGGATGGCTTCTCGAGGTCTTTCTCGGGGGCTGCGAGTAAGATTGGACGATTATTAAATAAGTATGTGTAATCAAATGGTATACTCATGAAATTAGGAAATAATTTCACTTGCGCTTTGTCCAAATCGTAATAATTTCCCTCTTCTTTACCTATTAATATCATGGGTGGCAAATTACGTTAGGAATCGTGAATTTTTGACATGTTTATCCTGGATCGTATCTATCGAGAACTCTATTCTCTCAAATGTTTAGATCTTACAATTTTGCTTAAGTTCAGAATTTTTTTCAAAAATGTTCGACAAAATACTTCTTAGAATCCTTCTTGACGTGCTCTTTCGTGTGTTCAGGTTTTCTCTTTTTTTCTTTTTGTGCCTCGACATCTACATTCACGGCATTTTAAAACTTCGTCGCCATCTTGACACTGAGACGTACGGGAAGTTGCCATGGCAATTTTGTAATTTCACATGTGAAATTAAATATTAACGCTGAAATTTCGTGCCAAAATTAGGAGTAATTCGTCACCTATGATATTAATAAATAAATAAACCGGTACTCTGTTGAGCAAGCTATCAGTTATTTTACTGTTAAAGGTCTTTTAAAACAAGAATTCTTGATTTCATCGATGATCTTTTATTAACGGTCGGCGAAATGCTGTATTCACCGCTTACGCAATAGATAGTTGTCATCGGCTCATGGATAACGTCCCAATTATCTGGCTGTTGCTGTATTACGAACTATTACTTCTTTTATTCGTGAAGTGGACGCTTTCTAAGCCGTCTTCTAACATCTCTTTAACTGAAAGGAAGTGATTGATTATCATTATCTTTTTCTTTTTTACAAGGGAAAATTGAGTTTATTCGAGACAATCTGTTGACATCAATAAAAGGATTTTTCTCTCCTTATCTATAATGCAACAGCATTGATGACGGACAAACATGTATTCTTTCCATGGGCTGCCTAACGAAGTCAGTTGGAAAACAATGGGAATTCCAGGGGATAGAGGGAGTCTGACAAGCACCCCCCGGAACGGATATTCCAAGGGCGTTGGGGGTCTAAAGCAAAGGAGCCCTCCATGGAGGAATGGATATTTTCTGGACCCGCTACACATCACGGAGCTGCCTATATTTTAAGCCCAGTCATAAACTCAGTCCTGTTGGTCGTCGCCGTTGAGAAATGGACACTGTTGGTTAATAATCAAGTAACCTAAAAGGCGTTGCGGGCTTCCATAAACATTTCATTAATGTTTAATGCGACATGAGACGTTTTGGAGATCTTAATCTCGGATAAAGATACAAAAAATTTCAGACCGCAAAATAGGAACTTTGAGAATCTGACATACAATTTCATCTCAGAAGAGGCGAATCTATTGGTTTCTTTGGCGAGAGAGCAAACGAGCAACGAAGTGAGTGGTCGATCCTTACGCGGACACCTATTTCGGTACCCTTTATGGGAGATTACTGGAGGGGGTTCGCCAGGGAAATATTTAGGGAAATGTTCTGAGATCCCTAATGACAAAATAAAAATTATCGGTGTGGGAATTGTATATTTATGACATTATATGGCAATCAAATGAATTAAGTTGAATTGAATTCTTTTTAAAAGTATTGGCATGAAAGATCAATACTCTTCCGTGAGACAATTTTCCAATCTCCAATCTCTCAAGTTAAAGACTGTTTTTCTCGTACCTTTTCCGGACTGTTGCCTTTACAGATTGTAACCACAAGAAGGAGTGCGATAAATGGAAAATACAATTCCATGTTTGGCGCTGCTGAAAGAAAAATGCATTCATTTGTTAAACAAAAACCATAATAAGTGTAATGTAACTAAATCGGGATTTAAAAAGTTTTGCATCCGATCCTGCTTCAGCTTCTTAAATGTGCCCGGAATGACTAAATTTAGGGTATTTGGATTTGCAGACGTTTTAACTAAACACAGATTTGGGATCCTAATCCTTCACACACACCGCTAAATCTTTCCCCTGTTGCTACACTTCCACGACCTAAAACGTTGCTTATGCAACGGAAATCAAGTAAAGAGAGATCACGAAAGAAAATTAATAGTAACTTAGAGTATTCAATATTAGCCATAATTGCAGAACGTAGAAATTTGCCGAGCTAAATTACAAAAAAATCAGTTGACATAAAACGACGTATTTCTTGAATCACGTTAAAATCAAATCTTCGATCTCGGGTGTTAAGCGTAATTCCAAAACTCCTTTCACGTGAACGTTCACGTAAAAATTTTCTAGGGACATGAGCAATCACGAGTAAATAAAAACTTAAACCATAGCCTCAATCACCTTCACAAAAGCCGGAGTATAGAGGACCCTCGTAAAAGAGAGAGAACTAATCAAGCACAAAAGAGCAATTTTCACAAAAATGGTCGTCCAAACCAAGCACTTTAGTCCAAACAACTAAGACGATGAAATGAAACTGTCAATTTGACGAAATTAATCGCAAGTTACTTACCAGCAACTGGGCACTGACGGAGCCTAGCAGCGAGATGAGCTTCAGTTGCTAGAGATGAAAGTGCTTAAAGCCGCAAAAGTTAAAAACTTCAAACACAATGGAACGAAGGACGAACAAAACATTATTTAATATTGAAAAGGAGGTTCGTTTCCTGTGGGTGAGCCATTGTTTAGTTGTGACTTCATATGATTATAAATAAGCTGTATCAAGTTCAAAATTCCTATCTGGTGAGCTGACTGTTTGTTAATGCGAATTAAAGTCTGAGTTTCAGTCAGGGCTAATATAACAAAAGTGGACCTGATAAACTTTGTTAAGAGATCACCTGCGATCATTTTTCAGAAAGAAAATCTCAAATACCACCATTTTCGGCCCGCTTCGTAGATTTTGTAGGTACTTTGTGGTTTCATTTCTCGCCTGAGTTGTAACTATCGGGTATCACTTAGGTACGACCAAAGTTAACTCAAAAATAAAACGCAAGGATTCCCCAAAATCCACTTAAATTTTCACCGTAATTTGCAATTTGTTTACCCAAAATAAAACGAATCCGCGCGTTCCAGATCGAATTGGAATTCGAAAGTGTTCGTTTTGAGTAAAGGAGAAAACTGGAATACCCGGAGGAAAAACCTCTTGGAGCAAGGAAGAGAACCAACAACATACTTAACCCACATATGGCGTCGACGCTGGGATTTGAACCCGTTTTAAGAGAGGGAAGCCAGAGAAACTTCTCAGCGTTTGCATGCCACGGCCATGCAGTCTATCTTCAATCTATCGATTCGACCTCTCTCCTACGAAGAATTTTGATTTTAAACTCAAATCGACCAGCTGAGGGCTTATCGCTTCCTTTAAGATGAGACACCCCTTCCTTCTTGACAAAACATCACTGGGGTAGAATTAAAATCAGTTGTAGTACCCTAGTTGCTAATTACCTTGACGATGAGTTCAAAATCAGCTCCACTGAAAAAAATTCAGTCTCGGTATATATCAGAGGAAATAGTAGTTTAAAAGGTTGCCACAAAGTAAACACTATAAAAGAATTCCTTCGTTTAAGCATAAGTTCGATATTTTAGCCAGATATCTATTGTCAAAATAGTAAAACATCAAAGTTCGTTTAGTTGGGAAGCTAAATTTTGATGCTTAATTTTAGATAAATCAGTCGTACCAAAACAAACACCATACCTAGTGAAAACTATTTGCTGTTCGGAATATGATCACTCCTGATGTCATGAAATATAATTAAACTAAAAGCTAACATAATGGCACCATAGTCGAGTTTTTTGTACCTTTAATTATGGATGAACTTCGTGTTTTATATTTCTGTTAGGTATTCACAATCGCATTGCCTAACACAAGAACTTACCAACTTATGATTATTGACTTTTCATTGAACGAACAGGAATTTGGTAACCGGAATGAGATTCGGATTCAATTAAGTCATCGCTAACCAATGACATTAGGAGCTTATTCAATATATCACCATACCTTAGTCGCATTGCTTTCCATTTTCCTCCGAAATTGTTTATTAGCAGTCCTTTCTTTTCGTTCCGTCAGCATCCAGTTCTTGGTAAGTGGACAACACATCTCTTTCCTCTCGTATTATTATTATACAGTCGAACCTCCATGTGCGACCACCGTCTTTCGCATTTTGTAACACTGAATTCCTGCTAGCTGAAAATCCTTGGGGTAGCTTTTTCGGACAAATATTGGCCTTATTAGGTACCTGTATTTGACAAATGATTTGACATGAATTAGCTTAACTTAGAAAAGGGTCGTCTTTTCACAAGAGGACCCTAAAGGTGTCAAAAAGAAACTAGGCCTTAGGTCCTTGGAACGAAGAGGAATTCGCTTTATTATATACATACTGAGAAATACTCACCAAAAAGCTATGTCGTAAATTTTCGTACGCAAATTAGTTATAGCCAATCAGAGGAGCGAACGATGGTTTCCACACGTGAAAAAAACGATACGTCCAATCAGAATCGCGAACGATGTTTTTTCACGTGTGAGAAAAATGATACGTCCAATCAGAAGCCACAGAGGTGTAGGAGTTTCGCGCCAAAATTCCCGCCTTTTATTGCAGCTTGCAGCGCCGCTTCGCACTCATTTATCAACGAGAAAAGTTTTACTCAAGGAGTTTTTCTCGCTAAAAAAGTGAAAAACATTTCGGAAATGGGTGGAATAGTTTCGTTTGTTTCACTGTCGATAAAAAATACGGTAGAGAGCCGGTGAAACAACAGCGGAAAGGGATAAACAGAACGAGACGTAAGCTTTTGTTGTGCTTTTTGTCGGAGCTACTTTGCCTTTCATTTAAGCTTAAGCTTATATTGAAACCGGCCATTTTACTTAAATTCACTCATTTTCAATTGTGCATTGAGAACAAACAGTTAAGATTACTTATAGTTCTTGGATTAAACCTCATATCCTCACCGTCATTTATGTTTTTAACAAACGTTTTTACTAAAAAGCTGATACTTCGTTTTCGTTGTCATTTTGCGGTAAGTGTGTAGCGGCAAATTTTAGCATTTTTGAAAGATTTAAAATAAAAAGGCCCGCAAAATGATGAATGACTCAGTATGTATATAATAAACACAATACCACATGGAAAGTGCTTTGTACGGTATTTACGCACTCGTTGTTTTTGTATCAGAAATCTTACTCGTTCGCTGCGCTCACTCGTTCGATTTCTGATACGTCAACAACTCGTGCGTAAATACCGTACGCCAGCACTTTCCATGAAGTATTCTCTATTCCCATATCCTCTCTTTTTACCGGACCTTTTTACAAGGGCCGGCCCGGTATGAGATGTTAGTATAAGTTCGGGTAGTACAGTAAACATGTTCAGAACGGAAAAAAAACTGTTAAGTATTTAAAATTGGAAAAATTAAAGTTGACCCTGATTATGTATTGCTTATTCCAGTACGACTTTCTTTTATCAGATCTTGGTGTTTGACACTGACCTTATTGGTACAAAAGCAACATGGAGCAGTCTTTGGTATTCATTCCACTGCTACTTTTGGCCGTCATTAGCGTAGGCAACGCGGAAAGAGCCGAGGTAAAAATATAAAATATTAAATTTCCTTTCTTACGTTGAGGGTCCCTTAAAAGGCGTTAGTGAAAGCGTTGGATGGAAGTAATATCCTTGATAGTAAGAAACATTGCAAGCAAAAAACGGATTTGAAAAGTAGGCAGTCACTTTAATTCTTAACCACATCCGACGTTAAATGCATGAAGGCACCAACAAAGGGCAAAGTCAAGTGTGACGAGCTTTTAAGATAGTACAAAGATTGTACCACGGTCACTTCAAGTTTTAAAAATGTAATTAACGGGGAAGCGCGAAGAAAGCTTGAGGTTTATATTCCAAACAAGACTTCAAGTCCTATGATAGCCCCGGAAATGACGAAAAGAAGTCAATTTTCAACTTTGCAAACACCGTATAGAAGTGAACAATAGCGCCTTAAAGTAGTCTTAACTTTTCACTCATCATACTGCCGGTTACTGTCAATCAGAAATTAAATATCACGGCTCTGTAATAAATCAAATGCTTTTAATATCACCATATACAATAGAACCCCGACAATTTGGACTACTCGGATAACTCGAGTTCTTCGCTAACTTGAAGTAAGTCCAGTTTCCCTTGGATTACACCCCATTTTTCAGTCATTTTTACTCGGTTATATTTAACTCGAACTCGGATAACTCGAATCCCCCCTAACTCGACTGAACTAAATGTCCTTTCCCTTGATCAAAAATTCACTGAAAATCACCCCGATAACTCGAATTCTGGTTCTTGTACCTCCACTCGTGTATCATGCACCCATTAGCTCTTCTTTTTGTAAAAGCAATAAAACTAACACTGGTCAGTGGTCAACACTACAGCAATCCTCCAGCCAATCCTTCGTCATCTGACTCACATTGTTACCAGCCGTTGTTATACAGACGAACCCCTGTAACTCGAACTCTGAAGGGAAACGAAAAACATTTCGAGAAAGAAAAGGCTGGGGTTATCGGGGTCGATTGGAAAATTCATTTTGCAGTCGTGAAAAGTGATGATTACTGATTTTTCAGCTCTTCAGTGTATAGTGTAGTGCAAATTTAACTTATTTCATCAGAAACGGTAACATGATCAGGCCTTTTTTTATAAAACGGGACCTGTTCGTTGCACCAATTAAAAGTCAAATTTAAACTAAAGCCAATCAGAAACGGTGAGTTATTTTGAATGAATGATAAATTAACATAATTAAGATCTGTTGGAAATATCTCCAAATTTCTCATCATATTTAACATTATATTTTACACAGAGACGGTGGTTTTGTCATCGTGGTCCCCCTGGCCACCGTGGACCGCCAGGACATAAAGGACATCCGGTCCTCGTGGTTTCCCTGGTCCGCGGGGTCCTCCTGGCATCCCTGGATCTTCAGGAAATAAACGACGATGGAAGCAGTGCGTTAAAAAGACGTTGGAACAATTAAAGTAAGAGCAACAGCAACTCTTTTTTTTGCAAGAAGCAGTATTTTAGAGGAAGGATGACCGCCGGGTAGAGTGCTAGTCTTGCAATCCGGAGGCCTTAAGTTCAAGTCCCGCTCTGACCGCTAGCTGGATTTGTTTACTGTAGTCTAGAGGTCGAATCCTCGGCCATGCTACTAGTGAAATAGCGAACTGGTTCGATCGCCTGCTACTAGTTGGGTTTCTTAACTGTGTTGTGTTCTATGTTTCATTATCCCCGGAAAGCCCCATATTATAATAAAGAATGTATTTTATTGATTTGATAAGGACCTATCTCGTGTAGAGGGTAGCTGGAATACGCAAACATCAGCTAGTTTTCCTGCCTTTGGGATAATAAAAACGACGATAATTAGAAAGTTTTAAAGCTAAAAAAAAAACCCTGATACCATGGGGCGTCTATCCGCTGCTACTGAGTGTCACAGAACGAAAAATGTCCACACGAAATTCGTTCTGAGAGTCAGTTTAACCCTTCGATGACTGCTTTGGTCGTTTTCGTTCCATGTGGACCGATGCATATCTTCCTTCATACACCCATTTAGCTTTCGGTTTAAGTTAATAAATTGGTACGCAACAACGTCAGCAAAGATAGATCTTTTCAGCGATTCCTCGTTTTAGCTTCTGACCTATCCTGACCGAGTCACAATCACAAAAAGAGGTAACATTTTGGGGAAAATCCACTGCCAATTTTGCTGTTTACATACTACTCTTTGGAAATTAAATTTGTCCCTTTCTTAAAAAGTTAGCTAGCCACAATTCCATGCAAAAGAAAGACGATAAAGAAGGCAACAAAATCGCTGATAAAGAGGAAAGGCAAAGGAAAATAAGAGAGTGAGGAGAAAGATCGAAAGAGATTCGCAAAAAAATCTAAGTTTTCGCTTTTGCGCATGTGAAAAACAAAAAATCTGTTTGATTACGTGAGATTAGTCAGAAAATATGCCTTCTTTCTTGCAAAACCCATTTTTAGCAATTCTTATGCTCATTTCAGTGAGTGATCTGTTTTTCATGAAATTTTGCCCATCTCGGTCCGAAAATAAAAATTGGTTGAAATTATACAGTAACCAAGGGCGCTTTCCATTTGTCTGAACTGGCCGGCCAGACCCTTTCCGATGTAATGGGAATTTCACTATTAATTAAAAATATCTAGCCAGAAATAGTGCAGGAAGAAGGTGGTTTTCCGGGAAAAATCCGATTTCATTGTCAAAATGACTGGTCCGGTTCTGACAAATGGAAAGCGGCATTTGTACTCCGACTAAAATGCTGAAGATCCTCCTGAACGGCCATTTTTAGCAAAATTACTCATTTTTCCTTTAGATAGAAATAGTGATAGAAAGTAAGGACTGACTCCTGCTTAATTTCCATTATGCCATTAGGTCTGCGACTTCGTGAAAGAAAAAAAGGATTCCTTCCTTCGGGTTGTGTACGTAGGGAATATTGGCTGCACCCATTGCTGCAAAAGATTTTTCTTTACTTTCAATGGTGAGGAGTGCAAAGACCCAGCTGCAGTTGATGGTGCCTTCGATCATACTCCTAAGGAACTGAGCATTCGACCTGCTAACATAGAGGGTTACTGTGGTAGTATCGCCAATGGTAAAGTGAAAGTTGAGTTTCGTGTTCGTGATTGTGATAAAGGGAGCGACAACCAGCTACCTTTTCTGCAAAAAAAAAGTTCAGGTCAGCAGGATCATTGTTGAAGAAGTGGACAAACCTCAGGCACCCCATTAAAAATTAGTCGCCTTCTAGTCAGAATCTCTAGTTAGAGGTGCTATCAAGAAAATAGTTTTTCATTACACTGGACAAGGGTAACGAAAGCTTGAAGAAGAGATTGGTTCAGTTAAAAGCTTGTGTGCTGCAACTTACGCTATCCTGGGTGTAGAGATTAAAGAATGTGTTATTAAAGCTGAATAAACTGTGAATTGTGGAAATTAATTACTGTTTGTAAATAGATTAAAATTTATCGAGTGTCTGAGTACTTGTGCAGCTATCAAAGTGAGCGACAGTAAAGCCTGTTGTTGTTTTTTTTTTTTCTGCTAGCCAACCCTACCACTGTCAAAGAGCACAGGACCAAAGAACTAAAAAAATAATATGAAATCACGTAAGAAATCAGATCCTCAGAACAAAGCGTCAAAGCGTTTTCTCTTTGATGATCATTATATTGATTCTCATAACCTTTCTACGTGATTATGTATTAACGTTGTTAGACGAAAATTGATGTTGGTCACCGATTTAAGGGTTGAAAAGTTAGAAGCCTTGCTTGTTTGCGGTCTACTTGAGAGAAAATACTACTGCATGAGAAATTTCTACTATTTGATTGGCTTACAGCGGTGGTATTTCAGCTCAATTTGAAATACCTACGTGTGAAAATTACAATTAACTATTGCGGTTAGTAGTATAAACAAATACGGCCATGATTTGTACGTGATATTTGGCACAAATATCACTCGTGATATTTCAAAATTGTCTCAGTTGTTACGTATAGCAATTTCGAAATATCACTCGTGGAATTTATGCCAGATATCACTACAAATCATGCTATTACCTATACAAACCGCTGGAACAAGTGCCTCTAGTGAATTCTGTAATGCATATAGACGTTGAGCCAATGTTCGCCCCGTGTAAGGGAATCTAAGACAGTCGTAGATTCTGGATTCCACGCCATAGATTCAGGATTCTAAGTGTTGGTTTCCGAATTCTTTGTCAGTTGAACTGGGACTCCGGATTCCAATCGAAAGTAGGGTGGATTCCTAAAGCTGTATTCTGGATTCCAAAGCCCAGGATTCAGGATTCCACAAGCAAAAATTTCCCGGATTCCGGAATCTGCATTCCCTTGCATGGGGTGACAATGTGTTCGTATAATGTTCGATTTCGTATTTGTTGTAAGGAGAAATTTTCCAAACATTCTTTATGTTCCTCGAGTTTCATATCCAACTTTCAAATATTCGTTTTGACGTTGGTTTAGTAATTTACACTGAATTTGCATTAACGTGTTTAAGCTCCGCAAAAGGCTTGACATGTAACATTTTATTGTCCTTTGTTTTGGTTGCTTTGGTGTCGCTAAATAATAATCGTAGAAAAACCAAGCCAACAGAGTTATTCAGCACTCGAAACTAATTGCAGTCTATTTTCAACGGAACATTTTTTCTTTTCTTTTTTTTTTTTTTTTTTTTTTTTTTTATATTTCTTTATTGACAAAAAAAAAAATTCTTTTAACTATGAAAAATAATATATATATATAGGAAAAAAACTAAATTTGTAAAGGAAAAAAAAAACTAAATTAAAGGGAAAAAGACGCAAACCTAATAAGTGAAACAGTACAGCAGAAAAGTGTAGCTTGAAGTAATAAGTATCATGGAAATGACACTAGCATTCACATATCTAAAGAAGTTTGTCCCATGTTTTTTTGAATTGCGATAAACGGTTAGATCTAAAAGCTATGGTGCAAAGAATATCAATTTTATTGTTGAGACGCAGCAGAAAACTGTCAAAGTCCAGGATGCCTTTGCGTACGGTTGTAGCAAAAACATTATATTTGGCGACAATCAAACAGTAATTAAGCACTTCCCAGTTATTTGACTCTTTGTGCCAACCATACAAAATAGTGCTTTCAGATAAAGTCAGTCTTTTATTAAATTTTTCGTGCCAACAGTTAGAAAAACAAGTCCAAAACGAACAGGATACACTACAGGTAATTAACATATGTTTTAGATATTGACTGAACATTTTTTCAACGTTGACCTTTCAAAGAATAATTAGAGCAGAGGCGAAATACAACGAGCTATAAGAAAGTTAAGGTGAAGCGCTGTGGTTTGATCTAGTGGAATGAAACTCGAAAAAAAAAACTCGGGCTGACTGTTCTGATTCCACCGAAAAACCATTTTATTGGTTGCCTTTACATTAGGCCGTTAAGTAAGTCTTAAGAGCTGCTAAGTTTAATTAACCAAAGATATGTGTGTGAGGGCCTAAGTAGAATCTCAAGTTATTTTATTTCGCATCTTATTAAAGTTTGATAGTAGAACATGATTTTTTGAGGGAAAAAGGTTTCGTATTTGGTGTATTTGGGTCAAGGCGAGGACTTCAAGCTAACCACGGAACTGTCCGAAAAAGTGCAATATGCCCACAACCAGGCAATCAAAAACGAGTTAAATGAAGCAATACTTCTTATTTGAATAAAAGAAGCTTTATGTTCAAGATAAAATTTTGTGTGTTTCAAGTAACAAAGACTTAATTCTGAAAGAAGGGGATTGGAATGTTTAACGCGCAACCAGTAAAAATACCCCAGTTTAAGAGACTGCTGACGCCTAAACAAACACGGTGACCCCATCTTTTTATTGCATTTTTTCAATGTTCATATCATGAACGTTGATTATGCCAAGTTTCAAAACAAGTTTGATAGTAGAACAATTTCAAGGGAATTACCTTAAGTTAACCTGAATTAAAAAAAAAAGAAACCGTTGTGTGAAGCTTCCTTTTACACTTGAAGAATTTAAAAATTTACTTGTCTTGAAAGATTTCTTTCCTTATTTAGGCTCTAGTGTAAAGACTGCCATTAAAAGTTATGGTAACACGGATTATTGGGTACCCCCCGTGGGGCTGCTCCCTTGGCCTAGACTGGTATGTGACGTAAGACAGGGGATGGTCTCCAGGATCTTGAGTCTTAAAAAGATGCGAAGTCACTATTTTAGCGTAGGGTGTTTTCAGTTTTTTGACTGAAAGCCTCAGAAGAGTGTGAAGGTCGGCTATGAGCAGTTTACATGATAGTACCATGATATTAGGCTTTATTCTTTTTTTTTTTATCTGTGAGTGACAAGAAATGAGTTAGGGTCTAAAGTTTTAACAAGGCAGCGAAATGATCGAGGATCATAGGGTTTGAAGGGCTAGGCGCAACACTCTTCCCTTGTTAATAGGACATCATCGAGCGTTTGCGGCGTTGATCCGAACAAATCAACCATGGAGTTTACGATTTAAAGTAATTTAGCTCTCTCGATAACCAAGTATTCAGGAAAACCAACAAGTAAATTACGTAATTTCAATAAACATACTACTTCTGCATCAGCTCGGCACGTCATGAAACAAGCTTTTGTGCGGATCCCTCCATAGTTTGTGCCCATGATAAGATTTGGCCTGGTAAACATTATTGAACACGGCAAAACGTTTACATGAACACATGAAATGGATATCCGTGTTTAGGAAGGGTAGGAAAACGAATTAAGATAAAATGCATAAAACCAGACTGACTGAGGTTATTTCCCCAGAGACAACATTAATCAACTCACCACATAATAGACGATTACACACGTAAATATGGTCAAAGGAAGCCTTTGTTACAGCTGTTTAATTAGGGTTTTGCAGAGCTTTACGAATTTACATATTTGATAAACCATTTCTTATCCTTTAAAACCCCCTGCGTGATACACTGGTCTTCGGTTGGCAAAGGAAGAAAATGATCGTTCAGGCCCGTAGCAAGCATAAAATGACTGGGGGGGGGGGCTGAGTGGCCCACATTAAATTCCCCCGCCGGTCCCTCGGTTAAAGCATACTTCTTGGTACATGTCAGATCACTAAATTTGTCTACAATACCTTTTGTTCTTGTCTCTAATTTTCCGTTTGTGTTGACTTTGACGATATAGAGAACTTGTTTGGGATATCGCTCGCGGAAAATTTGCAAACAATTGCTTTCGGGTTGTTCTTTGATTTGGATTGTTTCTTCCACTACTCCAAGCTCTGTGTCACTAGTACATGGTTTTACCCACGATAAAAGTGTTCCCTGCTTATTTTCGACTTGTTTGGATTTCTTTGTTGGCGGCTGTTGCGAAGACATTGTAAAACTTTCAATATAAACGCGCTAAAACCTAAGTTTAACTCTAGTACAGTAGTATATTTTACGCTGGCGGACCTCTTGGGAAACCAATAAAGTTCAAGAGGTCAAGTTCAGGGATTGTCATTGGTGCATTTCGCTCCATTTTGCTTCTGACTATTTTGATGCTTAAGCAGATATCTTAAAGCTGTTGGTTGTTTTTCCAAATTGCACAGAAGAACAACAGTACGTAATCTTACCATGATCGACAATACTTTGAAACTTTAGCTTCCATTGACAGCTGTCCATTTTAGTACAAACATTCCACCAAATTTCTGGGGGGGGCTCGAGCCTCTCCTGCCCCTCCCCCTGCTACGGGCCTGTCGTTTCAAATTTAAAACCGTGGCAGGCTCAAATTTCATGAATTAGGGGCCGTAATGACCAATACACCATACATCGCATTCCCACTTAAACAACCGGAATGAGGGTATCGTGGACTGGCCGTAAGGCGGGGTTTCACTGTGTTTATACTTCGCTCTCCGAAACCGAAATCGCATTCTTGAAACCTGTAAAGCTTAGCTATTAATTGTAAAAATCAATTAGCTGACCAGCTATCTTTGTCAAAAGTGAAACAGATCAGTAACCAAAACAACAAAAATATGATTTTTCCAATCTTTATTAAATAGCCCTTTGGCTAGTCTCCGCAGCCGCTAGGGCCGGAGTCACGGAAGCTCTCCGTGCCTCCGGCCTGAGTGACTACGAAGGAAGCAGAATTCCTTTACAAGAAAAGCTGACAGATATCCTTATTAAGCAACTGGTGGCTCTACTTCCTCTATGATAATCTTTGTGGCCTGAATCCCACCGTGATCAGTGTTACATGGCGGATTACACCCGGGACAACCGCCGACGTTAAACTGAACTTGTACTTTACCCTCAGGAATACCACCACAATAGCCCTCTATCTTGACCGGTCGGAGTTCGTTAAACTGTTTCAACCCTTTTTCATGGGATAAAACACCCTCAATTGCAGATGGGGTCTGGCACTCTTTTCCGTTGAAGGTGAAGAACCATCTCTTGCAACAAGGCAAACAGCCTGCCGTGAAACCGATGTTCCCAATGTACGCAGCGCGTAGGAAGGTGTCTTTTTCAGCTTTGACAAAGTTGCATTCCTGTTTAAAAAATACCACAAGAAATTAATCACACGTATTAGAAAAATGCATGCGGCGGACAGTCCATAATGGCCTATTCGTGGAGGTTCCGTGGTACTTTTTTTAGGCCAAGGTAAGGTACATGAAAGGGTAGGGAATTCACTAGTTAAAATGATATACACGAAAGGAAATCAGTCATTGCGATCTGTGAAAGGACGTAAAAAATTAACTAGGGCATTTTATGGCTGTTAAAAAAAAACAGGAAAACTTTATGGTTTAGTGTTTTTATTCATTTTTAAACGAAGGTTCAATTACAGCAGTTAACCCTTGGACGTACATGCAAATTCATACCCTCACCGTGGTATAAGGGGTGCGGGGGAACTGATTGAAGCCCTTCCCAGAGTTTTTGATATGGTGAAGTATTTCGAAATGATTTTGCCTTCAATGGAAAGCCTTTGATCCTATTAACACGATGAGGTATATTTTATGGCTGGTGGCACTACTGGAGGCCTGTGATGTCACCAACAATGGTCGCCATCTTGGATTTTACCAAGAATAGGCCAGTTCCGAGTTCCAAAAACCCTCACTTTCAAAATGAGGCTAGGTGCACAACCTTTCTTGTGAAAATGAGTTTTATTTGTATTAGAATGAAAAATGATTTCCATATCAAAGGCTGAGCACCTACCCTCGTTTTGAAACAGAGGCCCGGGGGAACTCGGAAATGGCCTATTAGTAATCACGTTAAAACGGCAGTAAATGCTAATTTTTTTGTGCTTGACATAACACATAAAGACGCACTTTGCATCATTTTATCACAATATTTACTTTTATTGTTGAAAGAACTTGAGAAAAAATGCATTTTTACTCAAAAATGGTTTAACCACCGGATACTTATGACGTCATATCTCGTAACCATATAGTAAATGATCATCACTAAACTTGGTTTCAAACTGCGTGTGAGGGTTAAAAGGGATGCAATCTTTTAAACTAGTACGTGAAAGGGGCACCATTTCTCAATGGAAGGTATACGAAAGGGGTACCTTTTCTGTGAAAAATGGTATGTAAAAGGGTAAGGGGTTGGACCTCATTTCGGAGCGGAGTCTCCCATTTCAAACATGTTTTGGGTACCCTCTCTCCTCGGGCGGACAGTCTACTTTCCTATGCATTTTCTCATTAAATTAGTCATTAAACATCATCCTCACAAACGCAATAAATGCTTTCAAATTCAACATTGAGGGACCAATAGTCTTCAGTTCTTTATTTTACCACACTTTATAAAAGCCGGTGGAGAGTAAGCCAAATAGAAATTACCGGGCTTTCAAAATGTAGGATCCGTTTGTTGGTTTATTAACAACACCTTATTAGACTCTTTTACTATGGCTGAAACATAATCGTTAAAACTGAGTAGGGATTAACAAATAAACTTTTAAAGAAAAATTCAAAGGAGTTAACAAAAACACGCTAAAAAAAATCACTTCCTGAGGGAATCAAACCCCAATCTTTAGGACGGCCGGATTCAAAGCACCATACACCATTGTTACAAAACAGATTCATGACAGAAAAACACTTTGTTGGAAAGGATGGGACATGAAAACCACACAGATTGCATTCTGAGAAAGGTATTTCCTTTTCTTTTTAGGGTCCAACTGCGCTATTTGCCCCCAGCGACATCATTTATTTTAATAAAGGTCCTTCAAGTCAAATGGAGAGTGCTAAAAAAGGTCCTTCATCAAAGGCAAGGCTGTCTGCAATCCAACTCATACAGCTGCTAAGAGCTTTACCAAAAGTTCTTGTTTATCCATAACACCTAATCCGCAGCTCATTTATGTTATTAAGTTTCCCGCACAGAGTTACGTACTTACTTACTTAGAAATGTTAACATTTTGAAAATACCTTCAAGCCATTTACCAAGATTCATCGACTTCAGTGGCATTCACATTTTTGTTCTATTATTAAATAAGTAAAGCTATTTATCATTCTTTAATGGCTGTTATTCCCATAGATCTTGATACTACGGTGTTAAAATCTTAAAGTTTATTCTTACATGGATGGGACCATCGAATGCTGTTGTTCTTGATGTTTTATAAGCGCATTGCTTATATATCTGTGGTTGGGAATCACCGGGAGTGCCAGGGATTCCAGGGCTACCAAACGGACCTGGGGGACCACGGTGGCCTGGTGGTCCTTTGTGTCCAGGTGGTCCTCGATGACCTTTTGGCCCTCGAAGGAAACGCTTTTGTGAACGAAAAAAATGAAAAACAAATGTGAGAAAACATCCGAAAATCAGTCAGGAACAATCGTCTCAAGATTTAAAGTAAACGAAAAAAAAAAATTAATAAAAGCAAAACAATATAGGCAAATGATGTCCTTCCTCATTACTATCATTATTAAAACCAAAAAAGTAAAATAAAATATGAAATGGGTTACCATAATTAAGAGGAAAAAATCGAAATCTTACTGGTATTGGAAAGAAAAGTAAAATATTTATTTATCTATTTATAATAGTGAATTAAAAAATGTTATCGTACAGTACTTGATATGGCCATGTTATAAAAGGGCCGTCCGCTTAAGGATCGGCTACTTGATCGGGATCAAAATTTCGATTCCGTTCAAATTCTGTCCACAAAACAACGTTACTATAACGTGAAAGAAAACACAGTTTTTGGGTATTAAAGAACTTGTGTCACAAAATGTGTCAAAATTCAAACACTAATGGAAATATAAGAAGACTCAGTTTGATGTGCGGATAAAGATATGAAAGTGGAAATGATTCTCACAGTTGAATAAATAACCTAAGCGGTTGAAATAGAACCTGAAAAATTTCAGGCTTGACTGCGAATCGAACCCTGACGTTTGAGATGACAGGACACAACACTCTATCCAATCAAGCCATCTGGAGAGCAGGCCATTGGGAAATCGTAACATGCCCGTTGGTGGAAATGACATGAATGGAAATATATGAAATGACTCATATTTATTTTGAACTGCGGAACAATCAAAAAAATGCTTTTGGATGTCTACGATACAAAGAGTTTAAAGCACGAAGTATTTCTACAGTTTTAATCCGCATTTGCCAACTTATCAAAAGTCACATCCACAATTCGAAATATATCCGTTTCGACTTGTTTGACCGAAAGATATCGACGAAACTGTTCTTATGGAAAGAAGATGTAGAAAACATTTCTTCCAACTCTCCATAGTTTCACTTTTACCTAGTTTGAAGCCCAAATGTAAATACATATTCACAATATAACGCGGAGCGACTATGGATCGTAAACTGGATCAGAAGCAGAATTTACCTCGTACCTATTCACCTGTATCCTTCAAAACTGTGTATTTGATAAGATTCTCTCAAGGCTAAAGCAGATCATACTATAAAGGAGACAATTTTCCGAGTGCGATTGGGATGGCTTCTCAAAGGTCTTTTTTGGGGCTAGAGCAGTGGTATTTCAGATTAATTTGAAATGCCTACATAAGATTGGACGATTATTAAATAAGTATGTGTAATCAAATGGTATACTCATGAAATTAGGAATTAATTTCACTTGCGTTTTGTCCAAATCCTAACAATTTCCCTCTTCTTTACCTATTAATATCATGGGTGGCAAATTACGTTAGGAATCGTGAATTTTTGACATGTTTATCCTGGATCGTATCTATCGAGAACTCTATTCTCTCAAATGTTTAGATCTTACAATTTGGCTTAAGTTCAGAATTTTTTTCAAAAGTGTTCGACAAAATACTTGTTAGAATCCTTCTTGACGTGCTCTTTCGTGTGTTTAGGTTTTCTCTTTTTTCTTTTTGTGCCTCGACATCTTCATTCACGGCATTTTAAAACTTCGTCGCCATCTTGACACTGAGACGTACCGGAAGTTGCCATGGCAATTTTGTAATTTCACATTAACGCTGAAATTTCGTGCCAAAATTAGGAGTAATTCGTCACCTTTGATATTAATAAATAAATAAACCGGTACTCTGTTGAGCAAGCTATCAGACAAGAATTCTTGATTTCATCGATGATCTTTTATTAACGGTCGGCAAAATGCTGTATTCACCGCTTACGCAATAGATAGTTGTCATCGGCTCATGAATAACGTCCCAGTTATCTGGCTGTTGCTGTATTACGATCTATTACTTCTTTTATTCGTGAAGTGGACGCTTTCTAAGCCGTCTTCTAACATCTCTTTAACTGAAAGGAAGTGATTGATTATCATTATCTTTTTCTTTTTTACAAGGGAAAATTGAGTTTATTAGACAATCTGTTAACATCAATAAAAGGATTTTTCTCTCCTCATCTATAGTGCAACAGCATTGATGACGGAGAAACATGTATTCTTTCCAGGGGCTACCTAACGAAGTCAGTTGGAAAATAATGGGAATTCCAGGGGATAGAGGGAGTCTGACAAGCACCCCCCGGAACGGATATTCCAAGGGCCTTGGGGGTCTAAAGCAAACGAACCCTCCATGGGGGGAATGGATATTTTCTGGACCCGCTACACATCACGGAGCTGCCGATTACAAGCCCATGCAGTCATAAACTCAGTCCTATTGGTCGTGGCCGTTGAGAAATGGACACTGTTGGTTATTAATCAAGTAACCTAAAAGGCGTTGCGGGTTTCCATAAACATTTCCTTAATGTTTAATGCGACATGAGCCTTTTTGGAGGTCTTAATTTCGGATAACGATTAAAAAAAGCTCAGACGGCAAAATAGGAACTTTGAGAATCTGACGTACAATTTCATCTCAGAAGAGGCGAATCTGTTGGTTTCTTTGGCGAGAGAGCAAATGAGCAACGAAGTGAGTGGTCGATCCTTACGCGGACACCTATTTCGGTACCCTTTATGGGAGATTACTGAAGGGGGTTCGCCAAGGAAATATATAGAGAAATGTTCTGGGATCTCTAATGACAAAATAAAAATTATGGGTGTGAGAATTGTATATTTATGACATTATATGGCGATCGAATGAATTAAGTTGAATTGAATTCTTTTTAAAAGTGTTCGCATGAAAGATCAATACTCTTCCTTAAGACAATCTTCCAGTCCATGACTTTTCTTGATTATTCAGTTATCTCTCAAGTTAAAGACTGTTTTTCTCGTACCTTTTCCGGACTGTTGCCTTTACAGAATGTAACCACAAGAAGGAGTGCAATAAATGGAAAATACAATTCCATGTTTGGTGCTGCCGAAAGAAAAATGCATTCATTTGTTAAACAAAAACCATCATAAGTGTAATGTAACTAAATCGGGATTTAAAAAGTTTTGCATCCGATCCTGCTTCGGCTTCTTAAATGTGCCCGGATTGATTAAATTTAAGGTATTTGGATTTGCAGACGTTTAAACTAAACACAGATTTGGAATCCTAATCCTTCACACAAATCGCTAAATCTTGGCCCCTGTTGCTACACTACCACGGCCTAAAACGTTGCTTATGCAACGGAAATCAAGTAAAGAAAGATCACGAAAGAAAATTAATAGTAACTTAGAGTATTCAATATTAGCCATAATTGCAGAACGTAAAAATTTGCCGAGCTAAATTACAAAAAAATCAGTTCACACAAAACGGCGTATTTCTTGAATCACGTTAAAATCAAATAATCGATCACGTGTGTTAAGCGTAATTCCAAAACCCCTTTCACGTGCACGCTCACGTAAAAATTTTCTTGGGACATGAGCAATCACGAGTAAATAAAAACTTAAACCATAGCCTCAATCACCTTCACAAAAGCCGGAGTATAGAGGACCCTCGTAAAAGAGAGAGAACTAAACAACCACAAAAAAGCAATTTTCACAAAATGGTCGTCCAAACCAAGCTCTTTAGTCCCAACAACTAGGACGGTGAAATGAAACTGTAAATTTTACGAAATCAAAGTTACTTACCAAAAACTGGGCACTGACGGAGCCTAGCAGCGAGATGAGCTTCAGTTGTTAGAGATGAAAGTGCTTAAAGCCGCAAAGGTTAAAAAATTCAAACACAATGGAACGAAGGAAGAACAAAACATAACCTAATATTGAAAAGGAGGTTCGTTTCCTGTGGGTGAGCCACTGTTTAGTTGTGACTTCATATGATTTTAAATAAGCTGTATCAAGTTCAAAATTCCTATCCGGTGAGCTGACTGTTCGTTAATGCGAATTAAAGTCTGAGTGTCAGTCTGGGCTAATATAACAAAAGTGGACCTGATAAACTTTGTTAAGAGATCACCTGCGATCATTTTTCAGAAAGAAAATCTCAAATACCACCATTTTCGGCCCGCTTCGTAGATTTTGCAGGTACGTCGTGGTTTCATTTCTCGCCTGAGTTGTAACTATCGGGTAGCACTTAGTTACGACCAAAGTTAACTCAAAAATAAAACGCAAGGAATCCCCAAAATCCACTTAAAATTTTCACCGTAATTTGCAATTTGTTTACCCAAAATAGTTCTCAAGAACTCTTTTAAACGAATGCGTGCGTTCCAGATCGAATTGGAATTCGAAAGCGTTGGTTTTGAGGAAAGGAGAAATCTGGAATACCCGGAGGAAAAACCTCTCGGAGCAAGGAAGAGAACTAACAACGTACTTAACCCACACATGGCGTCGACGCAGGGATTTGAGGCTGGAGAAACTTCTGAGCGTTTCCATGCCACGGCCATGCAGTCTATCTTCAATCTATCGATTCGACCTCTCTTCTGTGAAGAATTTTGATCTGAAACTCAAATTGACGAGCTGAGGACTTATCGTTTCCTTTAAGATGAGACACCCCTTCCTTCTTGACAAAACATCACTGGGGTAAAATTAAAATCAGTTTTAGTACCCTAGTTGCTAATTACCTTGAAGATCAGTTCAAAATCAGCTCGGCTGAAAAAAATTCAGTCTCGGTATATATCAGAGGAAATAGTAGTTTAAAAGGTTGCCACAAGTAAACACTATAAAAGAATTCCTTCGTATAAGCACAAGTTCGATATTTTACCCAGATATCTATTGTCAAAATAGTAAAACATCAAAGTTCGTTTTGTTGGGAAGTTAAATTTTGATGCTTAATTTTGGATAAATCAGTCGTACCAAAACAAACACCATTCCTAGTGAAAACTATTTGCTCTTCGGAATATGATCACTCCTGATGTCATGAAATATAATTGAACTAAAAGCTAACATAATGGCACCATAGTAAAGTTTTATTTACCGTTAATTATGGATAAACTTCGTGTTTTATATTTCTTTTTAGGTATTCACAATCGCATTGCCTAACACAAGAACTTACCAACTTATGATTATTAACTTTTCATTGAACGAACAGGAATTTGGTAATCGGAATGAGATACGGATTCAATTCAGTCATCGCTAACCAATGACATTAGGAGCTTATTCAATATATCACCATACCTTAGTCGCATTGCTTTCCATTTTCCTCCGAAATTCTTATTAGCAGTCCTTTCTTTTCGTTCCGTCAGCATCCAGTTCTTGGTAAGTGGACAACACATCTCTTTCCTCTCGTATTCTTATTATACAGTCGAACCTACATGTGCGACCACCGTCTTTCGTATTTTGTAACAATGAATTCCTGCTAGCTGAAAATCCTTGGGAGCAGCTTTTTCGGACAAATATTGGCCTTATTAGGTACCTGTATTTGACAAATGATTTGACATGAATTAGCTTAAGTTAGAAAAGGGTCGTCTTTTCACAAGAGGACCCTAAAGGTGTCAAAAAGAAACTAGGCCTTAGGTCCTTGGAACGAAGAGGAATTCGCTTCCCATATCCTCTCTTTTTACCGGACCTTTTTACAAGGGCCGGTCCGGTATGACATGTTAGTATAAGTTCGGGTAGTATAGTAAACATGTTCAGAACGGAAAAAGTACTTTTAAGTATTTAAAATTGGAAAAATTAAAGTTGACCCCGATTATGTACTGCTTATTGCAATAAGACTTTCTTTTATCAGATCTTGGTGTTTGACACTGACCTTACTGGTGCGAAAGCAACATGGAGCAGTCTTTGGTATTCCTTCCACTGCTACTTTTGGCCGTCATTAGCGTAAGCAACGCGGAAAGAGCCGAGGTAAAAATATAAATTTTTTTTTCCTTTCTTAAGTAGAGTGTCCCTTAAAAGGCGTTAGTGAAAATGTTGGATGGAAGTAATATTCTTGATAGTGAGAAACATTGCAAGCAAAAAAATGGTATTAGAAAAGTAGGCAGTCACTTTAATTCTTAACTACATCTGACGTTAAATGCATGAAGGCACCAACAAAGGGCAAAGTCAAGTGTGACGAGCTTTTAAGATAGTACAAAGATTGTACCACGGTCACTTCAAGTTTTAAAAATGTAATTAACGGGGAAGCGCGGAGAATGCTTGAGGTTTATATTCTAAACAAGACTTCAAGTGATAGCCCGGGAATGACGAAAAGAAGTCAATTTTTAACTTTGCAAACGCCTTATAGAAGTGAACAATAGCGCCTCAAAGTAGTCTTAAGTTTTCACTCATCATATTGCCGGTTACTGTCAATCAGAAATTAAATATCACGGCTCTGTAATAAATCAAATGCTTTTAATATCACCATATACAATAGAACCCCGACAATTTGGACTACTCGGATAACTCGCTCGAGTTCTCCGCTAACTTGAAGTAAGTCCAATTTCCCTTGGATTACACCCCATTTTTCAGTCGTTTTCACTCGGTTAACTCGAACTCGGATAACTCGAATTCCCCGCTAACTCGACTGAACTAAATGTCCTTTCCCTTGATCAAAAATTCACTGAAAATCACCCTGATAACTCGAATTCTGGTGGTTGTACCTCCACTCGTGTATCATGCATCCATTAGCTCTTCTTTTTGTAAAAGCAATAAAACTAACACTGGTCAGTGGTCAACACTACAGCAATCCTCCAGCCAATCCTTCGTCATCTGACTCACATTCTTACCAGCCGTTGTTATACAGACGAACCCCTGTAACTCGAACTCTGAAGGGAAACGAAAAACATTTCGAGAAAGAAAAGGCTGGGGTTATCGGGGTCGATTGGAAAATTCATTTTGCAGTCGTGAAAAGTGATGATTACTGATTTTTCAGCTCTTCAGTGTATAGTGTAGTGCAAATTTAACTTATTTCATCAGAAACGGTAACATGATCAGGCCTTTTTTTATAAAACGTGACCTGCTCGTTGCACCAATTAAAAGTCAAATTTAAACTAAAGCCAATCAGAGACGGTGAGTTATTTTGAATGAATAATGAATTAACATAATTGAGATCTGTTGGAAATATCTCATATTTAACATTATATTTTACACAGAGACGGTGGTTTTGTCATCGTGGTCCCCCTGGCCACCGTGGACCGCCAGGACATAAAGGACATCCCGGTCCTCGTGGTTTCCCTGGTCCGCGGGGTCCTCCTGGCATCCCTGGATCTTCAGGAAATAAACGACGATGGAAGCAGTGCGTTAAAAAAGACGTTGGAACAATTAAAGTAAGAGCAACAGTAACTCTTTTTTGCAAGAAGCAGTATTTTAGAGGAAGGATGACCGCCGGGTAGAGTGCTAGTCTTGCAATCCGGAGGCCTTAAGTTCAAGTCCCGCTCTGACCGCTAGCTGGATTTGTTTACTGTAGTCTAGAGGTCGAATCCTCGGCCACGCTAGTGAAATAGCGAACTGGTTCGATCGCCTGCTACTAGTTGGGTTTCTTAACTGTGTTGTGTTCTATGTTTCATTATCCCCGGAAAGCCCCATATTATAATAAAGAATTTATTTTATTGATTTGATAAGGACCTATTTCGTGTAGAGGGTAGCTGGAATACGCAAACATCAGCTAGTTTTCCTGCCTTTGGGATAATAAAAACGACGATAATTAGAAAGTTTTAAAGCTAAAAAAAAAACCCTGATACCATGGGGCGTCTATCCGCTGCTACTCAGTGTCACAGAACGAAAAATGTCCACACGAAATTCGTTCTGAGAGTCAGTTTAACCCTCCGATGACTGCTTTGGTCGTTTTTGTTCCATGTGGACCGATGCATATCTTCCTTCATAGACCCATTTAGCTTTCGGTTTAAGTTAATAAATTGGTACGCAACAACGTCAGCAAAGATAGATCTTTCCAGCGATACCTCGTTTTAGCTTCTGACCTATCCTGACCGAGTCACAATCACAAAAAGAGGTAACATTTTGGGGAAAATCCACTGCCAATTTCGCTGTTTACATACTACTCGTTGAAAATTAAATATATCCCTTTCTTAAAAAGTTAGCTAGCCACAATTCCATGCAAAAGAAAGACGATAAAGAAGGCAACAAAATCGCTGATAAAGAAGAAAGGCAAAGGAAAATAAGAGAGCGAGGAGAAAGATCGAAAGAGATTCGCAAAAAATCTAAGTTTTCGCTTTTGCGCATGTGAAAAACATAAAAAGCTGTTTAATTACGTGAGATTAGTCAGAAAATATGCCTTCTTTCTTGCAAAACCCATTTTTAGCCATTCTTATGCTCATTTCAGTGAGTGATCTACTTTTTATGTATGAAATTTTGCCCATCTCGGTCCAAAAATAAAAATTGGTTGAAATTATAAAGTAACCAAGGGCGCTTTCCATTTGTCTGAACTGGCCGGCCAGACCCTTTCCGATGTAATGGGAATTTCACTATTAATTAAAAATATCTAGCCAGAAATAGTGCAGGAAGGAGGTGGTTTTCCGGGAAAAATCCGATTTCATTGTCAAAATGACTGGTCCGGTTCTGACAAATGGAAAGCGTCATTAGTACTCCGACTAAAATGCTGAAGATCCTCCTGAACGGCCATTTTTAGCAAAATTACTCATTTTTCCTTTAGATAGAAATAGTTATAGAAAGTAAGGACTGATTCCTGCTTAATTTCCATTATGCCATTAGGTCTGCGACTTCGTGAAAGAAAAAAAGGATTCCTTCCTTCGGGTTGTGTACGTAGGGAATATTGGCTGCACCCATTGCTGCAAAAGATTTTTCTTTACTTTCAATGGTGAGGAGTGCAAAGACCCAGCTGCAGTTGATGGTGCCTTGGATCATACTCCTAAGGAACTGAGCATTCGACCTGCTAACATAGAGGGTTACTGTGGTAGTATCGCCAATGGTAAAGTGAAAGTTGAGTTTCATGTTCGTGATTGTGATAAAGGGAGCGACAACCAGCTCCCTTTTCCTAAAAAAGTTCAGGTCAGCAGGATCATTGTTGAAGAAGTGGACAAACCTCAGGCACCCCATTAAAAATTAGTCGCCTTGTAGTCAGAATCTCTAGTTAGAGGTGCTATCAAGAAAATAGTTTTTCATTACACTGGACAAGGGTAACGAAAGCTGGAAGGCGAGATTGGTTCAGTTAAAAGCTTGTTAAGTACTGCAACTTACGCTATCCTGGGTGTAGAGATTAAAGAATGTGTTATTAAAGCTGAATAAACTGTGAATTGTGGAAATTAATTACTGTTTGTAAATAGATTAAAATT